TTGTACGAAGATTGGTAATAAGAAATTAGTCTGCCTCTTCTTTAATCATTGTGTGTTCACGACAGCTAAAAACAAATCGAGAAATTTCGAAGTGTTGTTGATACGGCATTTGAATTTACAGATTCATAAAGCTAGCGCTGCAAGAATGAAAAATTTGTTGCTGTTATTATTCGTATTCCAAGTGATACAAACCGTGCAGTCGTGGGGTTATGGTGGCGGCTGGTATCCGTATTTTGGAGGCGGCGGATGGAACCCATATTACGGAGGCGGTTGGCATCCTTACGGCGGTGGCGGCGGATGGGGATATCCTTATGGTGGTGGCTTTGGAGCTGGGTAAGTTTTACAGTCGATTTTTTAATTAAAGCATTTTTAGCAAACAGTATGAGATTCAGTGCGTTGTTACCGCGAGAATGCATGTTTTCCCCCCAAAAAAACAGCACGCCTAATTCTTTTTCCCTTTTTTTCCATCCCTTGTCGTCCCTCACTTCCTCTATTTTTTTCCCACTACGATATTGAAATTTTACATATATAAAACAAATAACATAAGATAACATGCTATATGATTCCAGAATACGCCGAGGAGCTATTATTGGAGCTGGAGTTGGGGCACTTGCTGGAGCATTACTTGGCTAGAAAAGTGATAACTTTTACGAATTGCAATGTTTCTAACATATCATTAATTATGTGTATATTAAATATGCTGAAAAAAAATGCTCAAATATTACTAAATCACTTCAGGAAAATAAAAATTACCTACCTGAAAGTAAAAATCACTTACCTGAGCTTGCCTGATCCTTTTCAAAGTGTAATTTTCAAACAATCGTTCTAGATGTTACCTGATTCTTTTGAACATGTAATTTTCAAACAGACTTACTCGATATTTAACAAAACGTTTCTTGGAAAAGCGCACTCGCGTTTCCTTGCTGCCTCCTGGCTTTGCTAACTGCCGCAGTGATGAAGTGCACTGGTGAGGATGTGTGACAAATAAACATGGTTAAGCACATTTCCTAACAAACTGCGTGATTCCAGAATGAATCCGGGAGCAGCAATCGGTGCTAGAGTTGGCGCACTTGCCGGATCACTACTTGGTGGTTAATATATGCTTTACTGTCTGATTTTGAGGTACAGATTCACTCAGTTGCGAAAAGTTAATTGCCTTGCAAAACTCCTCAGTTTACATGTATTGTGTGTAATGCACTTGCTTAATAAAGCAATTTTAAAA